GTTTCATACCATCATGAAAAAAAAGTGAAGAAAGGTTCGTGGAGTTTGTGGATTCGTGACCCTGTCCCAGTCGTCCTTGGTCCAATGGCGCAGCATGGTCGCAGCACCTTGTAAATGACAGATCCAAGCCTCTTGCGTGGAACTCTCCTGACAAGCAATAATCTAAGGAAAACATCATGAGTCAGCTTCGGGGAAGAATCAAGCCCAAGCATTGCCGACAAACGCAAACATGCCTCGAACCTAGCCATCAGCGTCACTGCCGCCACCGTGCTCTCTTTAGCCACCTCCTCACGGGTTTTGATCGCCTCATTGATCGAAAGCAGCGTCGATCCGTACTTTCTCCTAGCTAGCGCCATCACGCCGGGGTCTTGCTTGGATATCGCCAGCCCGGCCATGCCCACAGCCACAATGCCCATCATCTTCAGCGCCGACATTGCAGAGTTCTTTTGCATCTCGTAGTGGCGGATCGATCCCGTAATGGAATAGTGCCGGAAAAAGAAGACTTGGGCGACTGACTCGGGCGGGATGGAAAAGTTGAATGTTGGAAAGGGTAGCAGTTCCTCCTGCTGCTGCTGCTGCTGCTGCTGTTTTCGTCGCAAGACGGCATTCGTGAGGGCTGGCATCGACGACGAGGACGAAGAAGAAGAAGTTGATGATGAATAGGAGTGCGACAGAGTACGCTCCGAAGTATCCTTCAGCTTCTTCTTCCCTGATCTCGCCCCCTGCGTCGTCCTCTCCGTCACGTCAACAAACTTCATCTCCATCTCGCTCCTATATCCCCAGCAAAACAAGCCCGCTCTCGCACACTGTGCACATCGTGGCTTCGATTCGTTGCACTATTCGCATAGGAATCATTAGCAATAGAATTGTCTTGGCTCAAGTTGCATCTAAATCCTCGTTAAAGGAAGAGCAATGCACTAGGACGTACTTTGATTCGACGAGACCTGCAGTTCACGCACGCCTTACTGTTTTGTCGAGACATTGAAACTCAAAATCAACAAAGGCTAAAAGAATTAAAAAAACAATACAGAAAAACAAATACCGTATTTCTCATATAAGAAAATCAAAGTATTTATGAAATGTCGTCCCATGGCAGATAGGACTTCATGACGCGGAAGCTTGCTTGGCAGATAGGACCAATATGCCGAATCAACCGGCAAAAAGGTTAAAATAATTATCACCTGAGACCTATGTTGATCTACCACTAGTGCCTACCTACTTCAACAATAGAAACTTCTTTTAAACTCGCCCAACTACTGTGGTCTATCTCATTGATTACTTGCAAAAGACCGTAATTCCGAATCCTACGGCATAAGCCGCCGCGTAATGATTAAGCGAAAGCCGAGCCCGTGTACCATGCTTTCAAGTGAGATGTGTTTCGCATTATCTTTCCACGCCGCATGGGTATAAATAGGCAGAAGGATTCTTCAGGAGGATTCAACACCAACCCAACCGTCGGAACATGGCGGGAATTAGTCTGCCTAATGTCCGTTCGGCGAACGACCGCAGCATACGTAGGAACTCAAAATCCTACGGTCCACGCTGTTGGTAATATTACCCACGTTACTATTCATAGCAAGGGTATCTAGGAAGCTAGTCAACTTGGCGATTTATCCTTGTTATTGTTGTTGTTGTTGTACGTGGGTGTGGCTATGAAAAGGAGCAAGCTGCTCAAGCAAAAGGATAAGGTGGAAAGATAGATGCTTAGTTAGGCTTAAAACTATAAATCTTTTTAGTCTAGATGTATAATCAAAAATATCTCGTGTTCTTGGACTTTTGGCCACCCACTACACCTACTATCACACGCCCCCCTCGTTTTCTAGTGACGACTCATTTCCCTTGTCACAGCGTGATAAACAATTTTCCCCGCGTTTGTTATCCATTAGGGGCATGACAAGACTCGCCAGAGAAGTCGGCAGAGCAAGTTCCCTAGTAAACACGATTGAAATCCGTGATGCCCGCTCAAATCATTCGTAGTGGTGAGCAAAGCCGCTATGACGATCAAAGCCAACCGGTTCAAACGAGCCACTGAGTTCGATGGCAGTCAGCTTATTTGATTGAGATGAACAGAATCGTTTCGAAACCGCTTATATAGGTAGGTAGTCTGATGGTGGCCACCTACGTGTAGGAAAGCAGGGCAAGCAGGAAGGCAGTTACGTGTACCTTTGTATCCAACGCGTCATTTTTTACCACCTTCAGCATTCGCCTTCTTCTACAATCAAATTTCTATCGACTTATGATTAAGACTTCTCTTGTGGTACGTGAATCCAAGATTTATTGAAGCGCCATATACCAATAGGCTGCCTTTATTGAGAAGTGGCGTAGAGGAGACATAGGTACTTTTTAAAACGTGGCAAAAACATTCCTATAAGAGGTACCTTTTAGTATTCAGGGATAGTGTGTATTCAGTATTCGTCCTAGAGTTCCAGGCCATGATGAAAAATCGGGTCTGTGGCGTTTATGTAGCAGAAGCCCGATCTCGGCCGTTATATAGCCGATATACACAAATTGTCGGTAAACCAAAGAGTAGAATTTTTCCATAAGAGAAGCATTTATCTTCAAGTTGAATTTGAAGATGTAGATACTGTAAATCTCCTTTGTATTACGTGCTTTCTGTCATTCGATATCCCTGTTTTCAAGGATCGCGGCCTCGAATATGCCCATTGTGCCTCGGTGCCGGACTTACACGCATCATAAGATTGAGAACGCAAAGGCTAGCTGCCATTATTGATTTAGAAGGCGTTGCAACTACAAGAGAGGTCATCACGGCTGGTGCTGGCGGTGCTGCTGCCGCTGATCCTACCTTGTGTCTTGTTCTTCTGTTGTCACGCCATCTTCAAGCTGGCTACGAATACGTTTCATTTCCTTTGCTTGCCTTGATAAGAACAATAGTTAGAAGTTCGCTGATCAGAATTTAGCCATGGAAACAGGCCTACCTAATAGTACGCGAGAGATCCGAGATCCGCAATAAACTTAGTCCCCTAGTCATCACGCTCAATCGAATCAATATCAAGCCTCCTCGTTCCAGCAGGATATGAGCGTCGAGCTCCCCTGGCCGTTGTTCGCTTGTCTTCTGGCCCCCACGAATTTTTGATTTCGAGCATCACAAACATCATACGTCAGACCCCATGACACCATCTCGCACCACCACAGGCCACGTCACTACATGTACAGCAGAGACGCTGCCCCAGACCTTCCCTGTCCATCATTCCCCAGAACTCCACCGCCCAGTTTGTTTCTTGATTTACTCAGCCACAGGCCCGATTATCATAGATCCCCGGAACTCCAGGACGTACGCTTGATACATCGTCCCCAGTAGAATGACCGATATTGCATTTTGTTGGTGTTTTACGTAAAAGAAAAGACAATGTAATTCTGTCAAAGAAAGATACGCCCTAATCCCAAGTTTTCGCCAGCACAACTCCATAAACGAGTGGCTTCAGTCATAGAATTTGCATTCAGTAGGAGATAGAAATAGAAAAAAAAAAGCGATGAGGCAAAGCAGATTTAACAGCAGCTTCTGCCGCGTCATCAACCCCAGCTGTAATAATCTCACACGTAGCTATACTTTGAATCAACAACAGCAGCTTGTTTTCTTTTCCTCAGTTTTACAGCACCTATAAGCCCAGAACGGACAGCACAACGGGCGTAGATATTGGGGGCTATTGTTTCACTTGAAGGGAGGGTAAAGAGGACAAGTGGGTAAACAGCATTATCGCAGACTTCAAACAGATATTAGATAGTCTATTCCCTAGCTTACACTTCAATTAGTATATATCGCCAGAATCAGGTTTCTGCTACATAAACGCCTCTGACCCGGTTTTCGTTGATAACTGGAGCTCTAAACTACACCCTTAACACATTGTTCCTATAAAAACACAACAAAAGGACACCAAAGAAACAGGTACTTTCTACTTGCACCTTTCATAACCGGTTAGTTTTCCGCCCGCCCAACTAAATACTAGTCGGCTTCTTTAAGCTTAGGTAGTTTTATCTCACTAATTAAGCAAAGCTGTAAGTGTGGGTTTTCTCCAGTCGGCACCCTTGCAAACCTGCCTCGCTTTTCGCTCAATGATATAGTATTCTTGTTGTGTGTGCGTGTGTGGTTGAAAAAGGAGGAGGAGGCTTCATAATTAATGTTGCACCTAAGGTGGAGGTACGTCACAACTCAACAACTCACTTCATTTCCCCAACTTACAGGCCTAAAGGAAAGAATTCATATCATTACTAGCATCAAATATGAATTAATAAAAACCTATTTAGTGTCTATTACCTTTTCAAAAACCTCGCTAGAGCCTTCCTTAACGCTCAATAGTACACGACCACTCAGCAATTCGATTCACTGCATACACCTTACTCCACTAACTCACAAACTGTAAATCAAGACAAAGAACAATATCATTCCAGCATCAAATATAAAACAATAGAAATTGATTTATTATCAAGCACCTAGCACCTTGTTTAAATCTCACCAGAACCTCCCATCACGCACAATGGTGTGTGTACATTTGACAAACTTAGACTTCACTTCACTGCAATTCGCCAACTCACAGCCCAAAAGAGAAAGAAAGGAAACATCATTACCGGCATCATATATGAATTAAAAAAATCGCTTTATTGTCTGTCATCTATTGTCAAAAAAAAACAAGACACACTCTCACTCTTACCTCCCTCATCTTCCCATTCAGATTCAAACTTCACAGAGTCCACTTTAAGTTCTACCTCTTTTATTTTTTCTAACAAGAAAACCACTCACTCGCCCTCTTCCAACCACTCCACCCCCGAAACTCTATTCCAAGAATCTGAAACACACAACAGCACTGAAATTTTTTCCCCAAGGACGTCTCCCGCCCAAGATAGTCCCACCTCTTTCTCTTTTTTCTTTTTTCTCTCTTCCACCAAAGTAAAAAAAAAAAAAAAAAGTATATTCGCTCCAAGCAGGGTTGCACGACAACGCTGGCCCTTTTTAAAAGGCACATGTATTTTCGTGCACAAGAAAAAACCATCTATCTCATTCCAACTCCAGATCAAAAGGCTAAGAATATTGAATATTAAAAAATAACAAATTTGCCAAGTGTCACCAGGATGAATGTTGAGAGCCGGAAGAAGAAATAAAAGAATATCACTAGGTCGGCGCCATCCCCCTCTCTCTTTATTCTTGGTAAAAAGAGGTGTCTGTGTTTGTCTGTGTGTATGGTGGTGGTCGGCGTAAAGTGTAAAATTGGGAGGGAAGAGATAGTCAGCGGAGGTGAAAATAAGAGGAGAAGAAGTAAATTTCACTATGCGCTGGAACTAAAACTACCCAAGAGGAGGAAGAGAGCCAAGTTGGCCAGAGCCAAGTTGGCCGGAGCCAATTGCGTAAATCAAATAGCCCCAGTCATCTTGGCAAGACATCAAGAAAATCATTAAGACATCGTCCTACATCCTCATGAGCAAAAGCCCCCCCAGGGTATCGAAGTTTAAAAAAGGAAATATGATGCACGGATATCCAAAAGGGAAAAAAAAAAGAGTAATGTTAAGAATAGGGCGAAATAATTTTTTAAAAGGTAAAAAGAAAAAAGGCCGATATAAAAGCGTGTGCATCATCAGTTCCAGCCAAGGGAGTTCTCAGCAGCAACAGGGGCGGAGATGTTGGCAGTTCGAGCAGAGCTCGTTCCGCTGTTGTGGCTATCGCGAACTCCGGTGCCGCCATAGGTGCTCATGTCGCGGCTCATCAGGGCACCACCCATGAGGGCAGGGCTTCCGTTACCGGTGTACTGCATGC